GGGCAGGGAAGGAGATGTTGCGTGTCGCCTGCGCTGCCTCAGGAAAGTGGGTGCCCCAGGGAAGGAGGTGGAGGAATGTCTGGGGCAGCCTTCCCAGGTGAAAGTGTCTGATGTAAAGATGAGCTTTGGTGGCTACTGTAGCAGAGCTAACGCAGGGAAAGCTAGGGAGGAGCTCAGGGTGTTCCCTGGGATGTAAAGTCAGAAGTGGCAGCTACGTGCTGGGGATGGGTGGCAGAGGGCCCAGGCTGGCACAGAGCCAGGGTCAAGTGCTGCTCATCCCAGCAGCACAAGGTTGCAGAGGTGCCTGGGCTCCTCAGCTTGTGGGAGGTGGCCAATGCGGGCACAACGGAGCAGCCTGGAGCGGCATGAGAGCAGTGAAAACCCCACGGCAAGAGAACAGAAGGCACTGCAACTGCAACAAGAACTTGTTCTTCACATACTGGCAGCACCTCACTGTGGTGGGGGCGCAATGGCAGGGCTGGGGCCGGAAGGGAGCCAGAGTGTGCTGATGGCATGTCTGGCTCAGGGAGAGCACCTCGAGCCTGGGCTACCCCTTTTGTGGTCCTTGGCACTGGCAGGTTCCCTGTGAGGGTTGGGTGGGCATCACACACATTGTCCTCCAGCTCCCCTGCTCAACCAGCTGCCTCAGCCACAGGCTCTCTCTCAAGCCATGCCAGGAAATTTTTTTGCTGTGGCATCCCCTTCCCCAGCACTGAAGCACCAAGTTTACTCTCCTTGTAGAGTGCCGGGCGTGAAGAAACACCCACAGACGCCCTGGGCTTGCTGTGCTGGGCGGTGTGGTGCTGAGCGCAGAAGCTCCCCGAGGTGCTCCTGGCTCTGTCCACGACCAGCTGTTGCTGGGGCTTCTCGGGGGGGGAAAAGCACAGTCTCTGGGAGATTGAGTGAAGACAACAGGCCCTAGAAAGGCTCAGCACCCCTCAAAGCAAACCTTTGGTGGGGAGGAGGCTTTTCTGGGAAGAAAAGAAGGGGCTCACAGGCACCCCACTCCCTTTCAAGGGTTCCCTCAGTTTCAGGGGTGCTGTGGCCTTGACCTCCCTTTGCCAGGACCCTGCAGCAGACCCAGGGATGGGCTACTGCTCACCACCTTGGTCCCCATGTCTCCAGCGCATTTTGTTGCCATACCAGCTCCCTCTCCCAGCATCCAGCTCAGTCACCAGTGATGCTGGAGAGCAGCTACTGGGCAGGCGGACTAAGCCACCGGCCTTCAACTGGACGGGCAAGAACTGTGGGCCAGGAGCTGGGCGGATGTGTGCCCCACGGAGGGAATCCCTGCTACCTTCATCATCACCCCCTCCTGAGCAGCCAGGTTTGCTTTAAAGACCCTGGCTTCCTCTTATTGCTTCCCCTCTCAGATTGCAGCTGGCTGCAAGGGCTATTTTTAGCAGCCTGCCTTCTAAAAATAACCCAGAGCTGTTTGGAGTTGCGTCACGAGAGGTAACTCTCCCCATGAGCCGCTTGGCCCCTGCACCCCAGGAGGGTACAAAAGGAGGCCGGGAGCAGCGGGGGTCAGCAGGTTCAGACGCAGCGAGAGGCGGAGGAGGCAGGGGGGGGCTGCCAGCTCTGCAGTTTCTGGCATCCCAGCGCCGGCAGCATGACCATCTTCTGCACCCGTTGCCACAGGCCACTGCAGGCAGAGATGAACTGCTTGCCCAGGAGGGGCAAGCAGATGCCAAGTGTCTCGAAGCCGTTCAGGTGAGCTCCCTACTGCCTACAGGGCTGCGGTGGCTGAGGAGAGCCCCGTGCCAGCTTGCATAGTGCCTCATGGCCCTTGCAAGGGGCTGGCACCCGTTTGGGACAGGGGCTAGCAGCCGGTGCATGGGGAGGAGGTGCGGGAGCTTGGAGGGGGCAGAGGGATTTCAGGTGGTTGAAGAGTTAAAGGCAGATGAGGTGGGCTGGGGCTCACATTCTGGCACTGGATGCAGTTTCCATCCTTGCGGGGTTTGGTGGGGAGGGACTGTCATTTGGGTTGCCCCCGCCCCCCAAAGCACAGGTCATTCTCC